TGTGTTTGCAGAGATCAGGTTAATGGACTGAGAGCTTTCAGAGGAGGATGATGAAGAAGAGGAAGAGGAGGAGGATCATTAAACACTTGATTTGTAGGAAATAAATATATATCAAAAACGAGTTATAAAAAATGACAGACGTCAAAATCCTGTTTTATTTCAGAAAAACATATTTCATATTTGTATACTTTTCTATTTATTGATTGAATGAGTGTCCTTTATAAATAAGAAATAAAGAGATAAGTATCCCTCAGTGTCCAAACCCCTGAAGCGCCTCTCTAATAATCATAATACTGTTGTTATGTTATTATGCACCTTAATGAGCTCAGTACAAAACACACGATGTACTGGACGAACAGAAACATTCAAAATCACAATATCTAAATGTAGAAATATATAATAAATAGGTAACTAAAAGCAGGTTTGCTGAACGTGCAAAAATAACAATAAAAGGTGTAAAGTAACTGAATGCACAATTCATCACATGTGGAGAATTCTGAATAATGAATGCATGAATATTTAATTTAGACGGAGCCGTGCTTTAACCCCTATTTACTGTGTGTGTGTGTGTGTGTGTGTGTGTGTGTGTGTGTGTGTGTGTGTGTGTGTGTGTGTGGGAACATGTCCTCGGGCTACACACTGACCTCACACTCAGACTTTAAGCTGCACTTTGTCATGTAAATGATAAATAAATCAATATTCCCTCCTTTATTCTGCGGCTGTTAAAGCCACGCAGGTTCTGGTCCAGGCTCTCGTCATCTCACGCCTAGACTACTGCAGCTCCCTCCTGGCTGGTCTACCTGCATGTGCCATCCCACCTCTGCAGCTCATCCAGAATGCAGCGGCTCGTCTGGTCTTCAACCTTCCTAAATGTTCCCACACCACGCCGCTCCTCCGCTCCCTTCCCTGGCTTCCAGTAACTGCTAGAATCCACTTCAAGACACTGGTACTTGCGTACCATGCTGTGAATGGATCTGGCCCTTCCTACATCCAGGACATGGTTACACTGTACACCCCAGCACGTGCACTCCGCTCTGCATCGGCCAAACGGCTCGCTGCACCCGCACTGCGAGGGGGACCCAAGTTCCCATCAGCAGAAACACGTGGGTTTGATATCCTGGCTCCAACATGGTGGAATGAGCTCCCCATTGACATCAGGACAGCAGAAAGCTCACACATCTTCCAGAGCAGACTGAAGACTCATCTCTTTCCACTCCACTTCGAGCGATAGAATTACTAACAAAGCACTTATATACTAACAAAGGACTGGCTGATCTAAAGCCAGTTGAGTAGCACTTGAAATATGTTGGCTCTATGAAACCTGATGTAGGGAGACCAGGGACAGTTGTAACACGGGACAGTTGTAACACGAGACAGTCGTAACACGGGACAGTCGTAACACGGGACAGTCGTAACACGGGACAGTTGTAACACGGGACAGTTGTAACACGGGACAGTCGTAACACGGGACAGTCGTAACACGGGACAGTCGTAACACGAGACAGTCGTAACACGAGACAGTTGTAACACGGGACAGTTGTAACACGAGACAGTTGTAACACGGGACAGTTGTAACACGGGACAGTTGTAACACGGCGGGCACAGTCGTAACACCGGGACAGGTTGTAACACGGGACAGTTGTAACACGAGACAGTCGTAACACGGGACAGTTGTAACACGGGACAGTCGTAACACGGGACAGTTGTAACACGGGACAGTTGTAACACGAGACAGTTGTAACACGGGACAGTCGTAACAACGGGACAGTCGTAACACGAGACAGTTTGTAACACGAGACAGTCGTAACACGGGACAGTCGTAACACGGGACAGTCGTAACACGGGACAGTCGTAACACGGGACAGTCGTAACACGGGACAGTCGTAACACGAGACAGTTGTAACACGGGACAGAGTTAACACGAGACAGTGGTAACACGAGACAGTGGTAACACGGGACAGTCGTAACACGGGACAGTCGTAACACGGGACAGTCGTAACACGGGACAGTCGTAACACGGGACAGTCGTAACACGAGACAGTTGTAACACGGGACAGTTGTAACACGGGACAGTTGTAACACGAGACAGTTGTAACACGGGACAGTCGTAACACGGGACAGTCGTAACACGGGACAGTCGTAACACGGGACAGTTGTAACACGGGACAGTCGTAACACGGGACAGTCGTAACACGGGACAGTCGTAACACGGGACAGTCGTAACACGGGACAGTTGTAACACGGGACAGTTGTAACGCCTTCGATATCTCCAATCACAAAGCAGCCAGAGTGATGAAACTCACTCTGCACATGCTCAGTTAGATGGAAAGACTGCTGGGAAAAAAGGAGCCACATTTAAATATGTCGCGAAAGATATCAGCAAAAGTGTGTTTCTGAGGTAAAACATTAACAAAAATCATATGATGTATTCTTTGGATTCTGTCTTGAGGTCACATGTCCTCAATCCTAACTAGTATTATTAGAATCACTGTTTTGGAAGCTAAACATATAACTAGCTAAATATGGGTCAAGCTAGCAATCAGGTTCACAGGGGGTGAAAACATGACTGGTGGTCCTGGGACGGTTGTTACACGGACCACCTGGGGACGGTTATAACACGGACCACCTGGGGACGGTTATAACACGGTCCACCTGGGGACGGTTATAACACGGACCACCTGGGGACGGTTGTAACACGGACCACCTGGGGACGGTTGTAACACGGTCCACCTGGGGACGGTTGTAGCACGGACCACCTGGGGACGGTTGTAACACGGACCACCTGGGGACGGTTGTAACACGGACCACCTGGGGACGGTTGTAACACGGACCACCTGGGACGGTTGTTACACGGACCACCTGGGGACGGTTGTAACACGGACCACCTGGGGACGGTTGTAACACGGACCACCTGGGACGGTTGTAACACGGACCACCTGGGGACGGTTGTAACACGGACCACCTGGGGACGGTTGTAACACAAACCACCTGGGACGGTTGGAACACGGACCACCTGGGACGGTTGTAACACGGACCACCTGGGGACGGTTGTAACACAAACCACCTGGGACGGTTGGAACACGGACCACCTGGGACGGTTGGAACAAGGACCACCTGGGGACGGTTGGAACAAGGACCACCTGGGACGGTTGGAACAAGGACCACCTGGGACGGTTGGAACAAGGACCACCTGGGGACGGTTGTAACACGGACCACCTGGGGACGGTTGGAACACGGACCACCTGGGACGGTTGGAACACGGACCACCTGGGGACGGTTGGAACACGGACCACCTGGGACGGTTGGAACACGGACCACCTGGGGACGGTTGTAGCACGGACCACCTGGGGACGGTTGGAACACGGACCACCTGGGGACGGTTGTAGCACGGACCACCTGGGGACGGTTGGAACACGGACCACCTGGGGACGGTTGTAGCACGGACCACCTGGGGACGGTTGGAACACGGACCACCTGGCAAAATGGCTATCCTAGTGTAAATGGTTTTTTACTTATTGGGGAAAAAATAAGTGTTACAACTGTCCCTGGTCTCCCCCTACTTATATGATTCTGTTTTCTTCTAGTTTGTATATTCTTGGTCGAATGCACTTATTGTAAGTCGCTTTGGATAAAAGCGTCAGCTAAATGTAATGTAATGTTGATAAGAAGAAATAATAGATTTAACTACAGAGTTGTGTTTATTAAGATTTAATAACATAGTGTTACACAGCATATATTGGTATCTAAGAATGCATAGGAAGAAGTGGCAGTATATACAGTATTTGAAATGAAAATAGGATAAAAATGTTCATAAAATAAGGGAAAAATGTCCAATAAAAAAAAAGAGAAATGTCCATTAAATACTTCAAAAAACGATATTAAAATATATAATGAATGTCAGGAAAATAATAACATTTAATGGGTATTGTGTAAAATTAAACTAAGATGTTTTTTTTTTACGAAAATCACAAAAACATGTAGAATTGTTTCTTTTAAAATCTCCATAAAATAAGAGAACACATTTCTAGAAAATCAGTGAAAAACGTCAAAAAATCAAAAATAAAGTCCATAAAAGAATTACATTAGATTGTGTGTGCAGACGGATGGCGCTCTCTGGTGGCTGCAGAGCGTCATTACAGCCACTAAATATGCGATATTTTTTTACATTTTACATTTTTCTATATTTACTCCTATCTTAAATCCTCTTACTGTGTTCAAGCATGCACTAACACTCCAAATCTATGTTCTTATATGTGAAAAAACTCTTTCGATTCGAAATTAATTGGAATGTTTTTAATTTAATATGATATTAATATTTGTTTTGAGGTTTCACTAAATTGCATTATTATTGTTTTAATTTGACTAAATGCTTTTCTTTATATCATATCGCCCCCCTTTCCCCCCTGTATGTGTGGGAGTGGTCTCGTGCAGGTCACGTGCTCTGAGCCTTTGTTGATTTGATTCAGTGAGAGAACAGGAGGACAAAAAAAAAAAAAGTCCCGGTCCGACCCACCGACAGACCGTGAATCCTCCCCGGAGAACAGTCGCTCCTCTCCGGCTTGAATACCGCAGGATCCCCGCTGTGTGGAACCTTTCTCTGGATCTTTTTCCCTGGATCTTTTTTTCCTTTCCCGGCGGTTATTGCTCTGTTCTGCGGGGCTTCGGGTTATGCAGCCCGGCCTGTGAGAGCCTGTTTTGGGGGGTTTTGATCCGGAGGTGTGGGGGTCGCTTTGCAGCCCCAGGCCCTGCTTCTGCTTTGTTATCCTGGGCTTCAGTTAGCATCTCCTCATCGTGTTTTCCAGGCTTTTCTTCCAGCATGAAGCCCCTTTCCTGGAGACCCCCTCACATGGGGACAATCAGGATTTAAAGCCCCCTTAATTGATATTTTTCTGCATCAACTCAATCCAGAGAACATCCTATTTTTGTGTGCATCTTATAGACCTCTATCTCCCCCTTTTATTCCTGCCTCCCCCTCCTCCCCCATAATGGCCCCAGCCTGGTTCTCGGGATGCCTTTTGCTGCTTCTCCTCCCCGCCTCACGGAGCTCTTTCCCCCGCAGCGGAGGTGCAGAATGCGGCCCCGGGAAGGCCTCCGACTGCCCAGGTGAGACACAAAAACAACCACTTCCGATTTGCACCTGAACGCAGCACAGGTCACTTCAGGTGTGACAGATGTTCTGGGACTCAAATCTTCATTATTTACCTTTTCTGTCATCTATTATGGGATGTTAGGGTACATTAGTGTCATGAGATGTGATGGAGGCTCCTACCTGCTATACCTGAAGATGACACAATATTTAATATGCACCTTTATTTTGAAAATCCCATTGCAAATCATCTTTAGGTTCGATTTTTTATTTTGAAAAATGTATTCTGGGTTTCATTTAATCAATAACAAACAGGTCCTTGAACACATGTTGCCTAAAGATGACACCAGCAAACATAACATATTTACTATGCACCTTTTATTTTGAAAATCCAATTGCAAATCATCGTTAGATTTGATTCTTGTATTTGTTTGTATGAAATAATATCTTCAGTTTTATTAAATCAATTACAGACACCTACCTGAAGATAACACTGGAAACAATCACTAGCATACATTAGCCTTTATTTTGAAATTCCCACTAGGCCTTTATTTTGAAAAATGTCCCATCTGCCAATCCATGGTTAGGTTCAGATATAAATTAACTTCAAAAGAAACGGAACAAAATCATTAAATCATATTTTAGTTTTCTTATGTAACTTGATATAAATTTAAGTGTGTGTGTGTGTGTGTGTGTGTGTGTGTGTGTGTGTGTGTGGTGTGTGTGTGTGTGTGTGATGTGTGTGTGTGTGTGTGTGTGTGTGTGTGTGTGTGTGTGTGTGTGTGTGTGTGGTGTGTGTGTGTGTGTGTGTGTGTGTGTGTGTGTGTGTGTGTGTGTGTGTGTGTGTGTGTGTGTCCACTCCTCACTTCACTCTATTTTAGGGTTAATTACAGGGTGAAGAAACAGGGCGAGGTTTAATGAGGGAGTACCCTGTGTGTATTAGAGTGTGTGTGTGTGTGTGTGTGTGTGTGTGTGTGTGTGTGTGTGTGTGTGTGTGTGTGTGTGTGTGTGTGTGTGTGTGTGTGTGTGAGTTATTTAAGTAAACTTCAGTAGAACAGTTATAACACATTAGTATTTAGCTAATGCTTTAATCTTCTCATACTGCCTGTGCTGCAGCACCTCTTTTCACCCTCTGTCTGAAACCAGAGCCCAGTCTGCACTGATTGGTCAACCAGCTTAGAGATGTCCCGCCCCTTAGCCTATCACTACAATGTGTTGGAGTTTATTTCACAGTTTGTTGACAGATCTAAATCTAGAAGGATCTGAAACAGCTTCTGATCAGGGAACGGCCTGAAAGACGGATTTAAGTTCATCTCCAGGATCTAAAGGATGAAGTCTTTGTGAGACCTATTTTCAGAAGATCATTGTACTTCAGAGACACATCTCTCATCACTGTGACTTGCTGAAACACAACAACCTGTCATAAAACAACTAAAGTTAATTTAAATAGAAATAGAAGAGGTACAAATAAATAAAACATTGAGTTGTCCAGCCTCTCTAACAGCAGTGGTGATTACATGACAATAGAAATGTCAAACAAGTATATATATCTTAAAGGGGACCTATCATGCAAAATGCACTTTGTGATGTCTTTTCTACATCAATGTGTCCCCGGTGCGTCGGGGAACTCACGCAGCGCCAGAACATAAAACCCTCTCTCTTTTCCTCCGTACCCACATCTTTTAAAAACAGGGGAACAACGAGCGGATACAGATTTGCTGCCGATATGACGTAATATCGGATGGTGAACCCTCAGAGAGTTGCTATCAGAAACAATGCCTGACGTGTTTTGGACGTAATCCCGTCTTTGTTTACATTAGCATCGCTAACACTCAGAGCTAACCTGTACTGGAGAGCATGTGTTTAAAAAGCAGGAAATAAAAAAAGGAACTCACCTTGTGATAAACCTGAGAGAGAAAAAGCATTTGAGCTCCATGCTGTTTCAGAAATAATCCTTGATGTGGTTTAGAACAGGATGGCGTTTTATCACAGCAGAATTTAACTTTATCTCCGGTAGCATTCTGATCAGGCATTAGCTCCGCCTCCTCTTTTTTTTTTTTTTTTTCAAGCTAAGGACCCCAGAATCCTTGTTTCTCTACCAGCTGGAACAGAGGGGTGTGAGCAGTCTGAGGCGTGGGGGGGGGGGGGATCTGTTTGGTATTTTAAGCAAAAAACTTCACAGACATGTTTTGTATAGGTATGGCCCTACAATATATGTTTCCAATATAGCATGATAGGTCCCCTTTAAGAGAAAGAACGTCTGGACACTTCTCCGTGTATTTGATCTGCAGGAAGCGTGTAATCAGAAGTAGGTTAGGAGGAGCTTTGTTGTGTTCGCTTCAATGGTTTCATTCTAGGAAACGTTTACAGATTCAGGACCAGAGATGTTAAAGTACACACATCCTGTACTCAAGTAGAAGTACACACATCCTGTACTCAAGTAGAAGTACACACATCCTGTACTCAAGTAGAAGTACACACATCCTGTACTCAAGTAGAAGTACACACATCCTGTACTCAAGTAGAAGTACACACATCCTGTACTCAAGTAGAAGTACACGCATCCTGTACTCAAGTAGAAGTACACGCATCCTGTACTCAAGTAGAAGTACACGCATCCTGTACTCAAGTAGAAGTACACGCATCCTGTACTCAAGTAGAAGTACACGCATCCTGTACTCAAGTAGAAGTACACGCATCCTGTACTCAAGTAGAAGTACACGCATCCTGTACTCAAGTAGAAGTACACGCATCCTGTACTCAAGTAGAAGTACACGCATCCTGTTACTCAAGTAGAAGTACACAGCATCCTGTACTCAAGTAGAAGTACACGCATCCTGTACTCAAGTAGAAGTACACGCATCCTGTACTCAAGTAGAAGTACACGCATCCTGTACTCAAGTAGAAGTACACGCCTTCCTGTACTCAAGTAGAAGTACACGCATCCTGTACTCAAGTAGAAGTACACGCATCCTGTACTCAAGGAGAAGTACACGCATCCTGTACTCAAGGAGAAGTACACGCATCCTGTACTCAAGTAGAAGTACACGCATCCTGTACTCAAGTAGAAGTACACGCATCCTGTACTCAAGTAGAAGTAACGCATCCTGTACTCCAGTAGAAGTACACGCATCCTGTACTCAAGTATGAAGTACACGCATCCTGTACTCAAGTAGAAGTACACGCATCCTGTACTCAAGTAGAAGTACACGCATCCTGTACTCAAGGAGAAGTTACACGCATCCTGTACTCCAAGGAGAAGTACACGCATCCTGTACTCAAGTAGAAGTACACGCATCCTGTACTCAAGTAGAAGTACACGCATCCCTGTACTCAAGGTAGAAGTACACAGCATCCTGTACTCAAGGAGAAGTACACACTCCTGTACTTCAAGTAGAAGACACACATCCTGTACTCAAGTAGAAGTACACACATCCTGTACTCAAGTAGAAGTACACACATCCTTTACTCAAGTAGAAGTACACACATCCTGTACTCAAGGAGAAGTACACACATCCTGTACTCAAGTAGAAGTACACGCATCCTGTACTCAAGTAGAAGTACACACATCCTGTACTCAAGGAGAAGTACACACATCCTGTACTCAAGTAGAAGTACACACATCCTGTACTCAAGTAGAAGTACACACATCCTGTACTCAAGTAGAAGTACACACATCCTGTACTCAAGTAGAAGTACACACATCCTGTACTCAAGGAGAAGTACACACATCCTGTACTCAAGTAGAAGTACACACATCCTGTACTCAAGTAGAAGTACACACATCCTGTACTCAAGTAGAAGTACACACATCCTGTACTCAAGTAGAAGTACACACATCCTTTACTCAAGTAGAAGTACACACATCCTGTACTCAAGTAGAAGTACATACATCCTGTACTCAAGTAGAAGTACACACATCCTGTACTCAAGTAGAAGTACACACATCCTGTACTCAAGTAGAAGTACACACATCCTTTACTCAAGTAGAAGTACACACATCCTGTACTCAAGTAGAAGTACACACATCCTGTACTCAAGTAGAAGTACAGATACTTGTGTTTAAAAATACTCAGGTAAAAGTAGAAGTACTGACTGAGCCTCTTTACTCAAGTGAAAGTAAAGAGGCTTTGAAATGTACTTCAGTAAAAAGTACCCATAACTAGCAGCTGTTTTAAAGAGTAGAAAGTACAGGTATTTGTGTTCAACATGTAAGAAGTAGAAAGTACAGGTATTTGGGTTCAACATGTAAGAAGTAGAAAGTACAGGTATTTGGGTTCAACATGTAAGAAGTAGAAAGTACAGGTATTTGGGTTCAACATGTAAGAAGTAGAAAGTACAGGTATTTGTGTTGAAAATGTGAGAAGTAGAAAGTACAAATGATGCTATATTATTTAAAGTGGACCTATCATGCTATATTTGAAACATATATTGTAGGGTCATACCTATATAAAACTTGTCTGTGAAGTTTTTTTTTCAAAATACCAAACAGATCATGAAATTTAGCCATGCCTCATTTCGCTTTATTTGCTCTATTCCAGCCCTGTTTTTGCAAGGGCTGATTCTGCTTTTGAGGCAGACTACAGCGCCACTTACAGGCCTGGCATATGTACTACAGCGTCTCCAGCGCTTTCGAGCGGCAATGGCCGGCCGTGGCCCAACCCCACATTCCCCTGATAGGCGGAGAGTTGGCCCAATAGCCGTAGCGCCACCGTCCTGACGTCAGGACAGTGTTCAAATCTGGATCAGTTTTTATCAGATCCGTTGCAGCCCCTTTTTTAGAGATTTGGGTATGGAGGAAAATAGAGAGGGTTGTGTTTTCTGACACTTGGTGAGTTCCCTGGAACACCGGGGACACATTCATGTAGAAAAGATGTACAAAAGTGCATTTTGCATGATAGGTCCCCTTTAAATATCTCTCACAGTCTGAGTTCACTGACTCATGAGGAACCCTCTCCTGTAATCTAGTTCACGTCACTGTCTGCAGGACGCTTCATTAGAGACGTCACCATGACAGAAATATAATGCCTTCAATACCACATTAAAAACCATCCAATAAATCCCATGTAAGTTACTTCTCACTTCTTTAGCTCCTGGTTTAGCTGCTAATGCTAGTTTTTGCCCAATTTGTGGAGATATAAGCTCCTATTTTATTTCCCATCGTTAGTTTTTGCCCTTTCTTTGTGACTTTAGAACCTGATTTAGTTGCTAACATTAGTTATCATCCTTATTTTGAGACTAGCTCCATTAGCTGCTAATGCTAGTTGTTGCCCTTTCTTTCTATCATTAGCTCCTAGCTGCTATCGTTCGTTCTTACTCTCTATCTATGATATTAGCTCCTAAATTAGCTGCTGATGTTCTCACCCTATTTTGAGTCTGTAGAAACTTATTTAGTTGCTAACTCTAGTTCGTACTCTTCTATCTATGATATTAGCTCCTAAATTAGCTGCTAATGCTAGTTTGTACCCTTATTTTTAGTCTGTAGAAACTTATTTAGCTGCTAACGTTAGCACATCTTTCAGTCTTTAGCTTCTGATTTATTTGCTAATGCACATTTTGCCTTTACTTTGTCCAGCCTCAGTCCCTGGTGTTCATCAGCTCCACATGATGCTCAGTTTCACACGGGGTTGCTTGTTGTGTTCAGTGTGTATAGACGGAGGTTTCCCACTATGACTCCCCATAGAGAGTTCAAACGCAACACCAGGCTGTCCGATGGGAGGTTAGCATCCATAGCAACATGAAGAAGCTCTCTGTCAGCTTCAGGCGTTCAAATCTACTTTATTAGTGGCTACCAAACATCACAATGTGTTATATTTAATGTCCTTAAATCAACACATTTTAGTGCAAACATGTGGCAGGAAGTTTGACTTTAACCAAACTAAAACACTACATGCTGACTACTAGGTTAGACTGGTCCTGGGAACAGTGTTTCTGTGTGTGTGTGTGTGTGTGTGTGTGTGTGTGCGTGTGTGCCGTGTGTGTGTGTGTGTGCGTGTGTGTGTGCATGTGCGTGTGTGTGCGTGTGTGCGTGTGTGTGTGTGCATGTGCGTGTGTGTGTGTGTGTGCGTGTGTGTGTGTGTGTGCGTGTGTGTGTGTGTGCGTGTGTGCGTGTGCGTGTGTGCGTGTGCGTGTTCTCGCTGCCTCAGCACACCGAGGTATTCTCTAATGACAGGGGAAACGGGGGTCACGACCCCTGTAATTACCCGCTCTAATTGGCTAGCCTGAGGCAATGGCGACCAATCAGCTGCCAGCAGATCAGGGAATTACTACCCTGGATATTAGTGTGTGTGTGTGTTTGTTTCCCACACTGCATCTGTGTGTGGATTTGGTATGGTGTTTCCATACACTACATTTTCTACTGCATTTTGAAATTAAAAACGGCACAACGACCCATTTTTTAAGTGTTTTCTGCTTTTTTTTATTGCCAAATCAACAATATTTCTCTGCTCTGACGATGTGTGTGTGTGTTTTTTTAATATATATATGTTTTATTTATTTCCAGATCTGTCGGAGAAGAAGAGCGACCTGAGAGTGTGTGACGCCGGGACGTGTCGCTTCGGAGGAAGCTGCCGCGAGAACGGAGCCGACATCAAGTGTGTGTGCCAGTTCCACGTGAGTCACTCACACACACACACACACACACACACACACACACACACACACACACACACACACACACACACATTGAGTTTCTCCCGACATTGAGGTGTGAAAATAGGAGAAAAAACTCTAAAATGTATGAGAAATAAATGTATATTTCTGTTAGAATATTATATTAAATAATACAAAGAAAATGTGGGTATTTTCTGGATTGAGAATTGTAAATTAATAAGAAAGAAAATCAGGTAATCTCTGAATTTAAAAGTGACCTATTAATGAATATAAATCATTGTGTGTTTCACTCTCGCGCTCCTATTGGCTAGCGCTCCATCACATTGTACATGATAGGCTAAGGGGCGGGACATCTCTAAGCAGTTGACCAATCACAACTCTTTAAACCCGACGTATTAATGAATATATTTAATGGTGTGTTTCAGTGTAATAAGAAGTACATCCCTGTGTGCGGCTCGAACGGAGACACGTATCAGAACGAGTGTTTCCTCCGGAGAGCGTCCTGTAAGAAGCAGAGGAACATCAGCATCCTGTCGGAGGGGCAATGCTACCACGGTATGCATCCCATAATAATCAATATCCTACCTTTTATATCGTGTAATTCAGCCCGTCAATAGTCAGATAGTTCACAGATCTCTCCCACTAGTTAGTCCTGTTTCATCTTCTATTCTGAGATGTTTCATTGTTTATTCATAATTATGTTTAACACCTGTTTTAACACGCTGTCCCAGTTTAGGGTTAATAAAGTATATCTTATATATATCTAGTTTAACTCGACATGAGGCACATATTTACGGTGATT